CAATAGTTAATTTATAGATGAGCAGGTTTCATCGAAATAAATCATTCTTGCATAATGTCTAAGTTCTTATTCGAGGTATTTTTTGAGAATTAAGAGTTTTGCTCAATCTTAACTGAGTCTTGCTCTATCGTTTGACAACATTATGTTTTTCTTCATTTTTCGCCTCCACCCTGCAAAATAAACCTCACTCTTCAGGTCCATCTGCAAGACTTGTTGGCTGCCACTCATCGTTGTTGTACACCGCCTCCGTGTATCAAGGCGCAAAATCTGCCACATACACTTCTGATGTCACGTCTGGATCCAGTCACTATTATTGCTGACATGAGGACTGATCTGATGTCAGATCCCGACGATGCAGGGCAGGACGAGCAAGATGAGGAAATCACATCGGATGTAGGAGAGCTGACTCTCTCATTGGCCTCTGCCGAGAAGTTAATGAATTTGAGTGATGAAGAAGAGGCACATGCCAGAGAGGAAGAAGAACGAGAAAATTGGCAAAACGATGTCAGTTTAAGACAAACTGCCAAAGGGTTTGAAGTGGTGGATGGCATGCAAATGACTGAAGACTCAGGATCTACCGATATGACGGCCAGCCCCCCCCAAAAGTTCCATTCGAAGCAACTCTCTTCTGCCCGGCAAAGTGGCGAACAAACAACAGAGGAGAAGGCAAAAGAAATACAAGGGAGTCTTCTTTTGCTGGCTACAGGGATTCGTCTACGGAAGAAAGCGGAGCGTCTGGAAACTCGTGCGAAATCGGAACTAAAACGGGTTAGCAAGACAACCTCTTTCGTTCACTTGCTTTATAACCAATATTACTCTTTCTCTCGAACCCCGGTTGCCGTAGGTTACAGACCAAATTATGCTATTCTTCTGGTTGTTAGTTGTGCTATTTATGTGCAATCTCTTCTTAATCCTCAACCTTTCGAGTTCACAAATGGAAGCTCATTCGAGCAATATTCTGACGTAGCAACCATGGGTTGTTAGGGCTTACCGTTTGTTGTCATCAGA